AATTAAGATTCGGCCAATTCGATGAATAATAAATAAATAATGAGAATAATAAATAAAAAATGCAAATAATATTTATCTTACTTAAAAAATAATATATTTTATTTAGTAAAAACATATTATTATTATGAGTCTTATCATTATATGTAAGCATCACTAAACATTTCTATTTATACGAAGCTACTTAATTCAATTTATATATATAACTTTTATATATAAAACTAAGCAATTTATATATAAAACTTTTTTTATTGTTGGATCATTCAGACTAAAATAAATATAAACTCTAGCTATTATTAAAAAAAAATCATTCAATTGTTGTTTAATAATTATTTAATAATTGATTATTGTAAAAATTCATAAATTCGTTATACTGTTATGTAGAATGCAGAATTTTATGTATATCAAGTTAAATAAAAAATGTTAGTTACATAAAATAATAAGAATAATTATTATTATTACATTATTAGTATTAATTAATAAAAAAATATGAAATAGAAATAATTAGTCGGATGAGTTATAAATAAAAAAGTAAAGTAAAAAAAGTAAAATAATAATTATTATTATTATTACATTATTAGTATTAATTAATAAAAAAATATGAAACGGAAATAATTAGTCGAATAAGTTACAAATAATTAATAAAGTTTAACCTTATTTGTACATCACTTTAAAAGTATGTTATTTGAATATTAAAATTGATGACTTGATGATTTGATGACCTTAGGAGAATATTTAACTCTCATCAGTTTTAAGAATTTACTACGAAAGTATTATGTAATGTTTGTGATTCTGTAGTATAAAATTAATTTCTTTTTGTAATCTAAGATCAACAGTGAATATATTACAGTGAATATATTACAGTGAATATATTACAATGAGTATTAAATGATATACGTAACATATGAATATTAAAACAACTCAGTCTAAAATTATTAAAACCTCAATATCAATTCCAATTTTCTTGCTATAATACAATATAAAGAAAAATAATAACAAAAAGATCTCAAAAAGAAAAAGATAAATCTAGGCAAGCAAGATCTTAAGCAACAAAAATAATAAATATTAAAAATTGTGTCTGGAAAATCGCTTATTAATAAAATAATTAATACACTTTCATTATTTTTTGTAAAATTAGAATATCATAAATGTTATTAACACAATATTTTATTCATATGTTTCAATATCGTACATTTAGCAAATTATAAGATTGACACATCTTTAATAATGGATTCTATAGTTTCTGGCAAATTTATGTTTAATTAAAAAACAATTTTTCATAATTAAATTTAGTTAAATTGTTAAAAATTTGGTAATTACTTAGGAAAATTTTTTTCAGATATTAGTTTAATTTCGGATATTAGTTATTCACATTGTCAATAAAATGCATTTTATTATTATCTATAAAATTATTATACTAAGAATTTCATATAATTAAAGTAATTCTTTTTCGCCTTCAAGCTATATCTAAAATTTCATCAATCTTGATTCTTATGTTTAATTCTAATGCGTATACGAGGATCCTTCGATAAGTAAGGTAAAAAAGTCAGATAAATAAAATCACCTATTTTCCGGAAAATTCTTTTTCACTTT